TAGGATCTGTGCCCTGGAAGAAAAAAGGCTGGAGGACCAGTTTTCCTGGGAGAGATGACATCTGAGCTGGGCTGGAAGCAGAAAATACTATCCTAGGCAAGGGAGGAGGAGCCGGGGAAGTCTCGTGTCATGACAAAGCACAGCATGTTTGAGGGATGAGAGAGGGCTGGCACGGGTGGAGCAGAGAACAGAGCCGTGAGGGGAGGTATGAAGAGGGGGAGGGAAGACGAACAAGTCTGCAGAAGTCAGCTGAGGTCTGCTTTTCCAGAGCCTCGTGTGCTGACGAGGTAGCGCCCGGGCAAGCTGGGCTTGGGCTGGTCGGCTGTCTGGGAAGAGGTGCCCAGCAAGCTCTCGGAGCTCAGGGAAGATGTCTGGAGATACAGGCCGGGCCTTAGCATTGTACAGAGGAGAGCTGGGGTGCTCCCAGGGAGAGAAAGCAGAACCAAATGAGAGCAGAGCTGAAGGCAGAACACTGGGGCACAGCACAACTTTGTTGAACAACAGACCCAAAAAGACATTGGACAGAAATGTTCGGGAAGCAGGAGGAGAGTCGGGGGGCAGCGCGGGGAGACCGGGGAGGAGAGCCTCTGTCAGTGCTCCGTGGTGTCCGCGGGGGAGCTGAGCAGCTTTGAGACCCGGCTCGAATGTCACCGCCTTTGCCGTCTTCTCCCGCCTCCGTGCCGGGCCTCAGACTTCCTGTGGTGGCTCACGGGGCAGCCCCCACCCGGCGACGCCAGTGTTGTAATATGCTGCCTTGAGGATCTCTCAGAGTTCTTTCCCATATGTTTAATTATTGGACAATACATAATCATTTTGAATATAATATGATGTGCAGATTCTAAAGGTAGCACTTTTTTAAATCTGTAAGAGGAAATTAATATGAAAAAAAAAACTTAAAAAAAAAAGAATCAGCCCTGGCTGGTTTGGCTTAGCAGTTAGAATGTCAGTCTGTGGGCCAGAGAGTCCTGGGTTCGGTTCCTGCTAAGGGCATGAACCTCGATTGCAGTTTGTCCCCGGCCCCGGTTGGGGTTGTGTGGATGGTGGCCAGTCGATGTTTCTCTCTCACACTGATGTTTCTCTCTCTCTTCCTCCCTCTGTCCCTCCTGCTCTATCTGAAGATAAATGCAAAAATGTCCTTGGGTGAGGATAAAAAAAAAATCAAGCCCTGGCCGGTTTGGCTCAGTGGTTAGAGCGTCGGCCTGCAGTCTGGAGAGACCCGGGTTAGGTTTCCGCTAAGGGCATGTACCTCGGTTGCAGTTTGTCCCGGCCCTGGTTGGGTCGCATGGGTGGCAGCCACTCGATGTGTCCCTTTCATGTCGATGTTTCTCTCTCTCTCTCTCCCCCTCCCGCTCTATCTGAAGATAAAATGTAAAAAATGTCCTCGGGTGAGGATAAAAATAAAATCAATCTGTTAATTGAAACAGTAGAGACAAAGGGGTAGAAAATAAAAGAACAGAATGAGATCTAAAATGTGTTCCATAAACAGAGAAAACAATTTGGGATGGTCAATATTTTAAAAAAATAATGATTGAGAATTTTCCAGATTGTTGAAATGCAGAAATTTTCAGATTCAAGAGCCACCATGAATCCCAGGAGGGATGAATAAAGTGTAGTCCATACTTGCATAGTCAAATTGCAAATTATCAAAAACAAAGAGATCTTAAAAGCAGCAGAGGAATAAAAAGATCACTACAATGATATGACAATTAGATTGATGTCAAATATGTCAACAGCAAGCTGACAGGCAAGAATTCAGGGATAATCTTCAATGTGCTGAGAGAAACCACCAACTTAAAACAATCATACAACAATGAGGAAAGAAAAAAAAAGCCAAGAGAATTTACCAACAATGAATTGGATGCTAAACAAACTTTTGAAGCATATATTTCAGGGTCCTGGCTGAGTATCTCGGTTGGTTAGAGCAGAGCATTCTCCTAATACCCAAGGTTGTGAGTTCAATCCCTGGTCAGGGCACATACAAGAATCAACTGATAAATACATAAATAAGTGGAACAGCAAATCTCTCTCTGTCAAATCAATAAATAAAAAACTGATAATAAAATAAAGCATATATTTCAGGAGAAAAAACATCTCAGGAAAAATAAGGAATCAGTTAAACCACCCCCCAAAAGGAGTCGATGAATAAGGATTTCATATTGATGTTATGTAAAAACACTCTTCCTAAACTCATAGAGACCTGCTCTCAGAATTGATCCTGTTAAGATTGTAGAGTTAAATTCCAACCCTTTCTTTTCTCAGCTGAGTTTTCCTCCTCCTGCTGTAACAGTCCATCCCATGGAGGTGAGGATGAGACTCAGCGACGGCTTCTCTTTAGCCAGGCTTCGAGGGTCCATGTGATTTGCAGCTCATGTCAAGTAGCAGGAACAGCAGGGCAGCTTCTTGTGCGAAAGAGCCATAATCCTATTACGCCACCTTAGACTTTCACCTTAGCTACCTCTGTCATTGTAGATGGACTGAGGTGACTGTGACTTTTAAATCCCCAAGGATCCTTATTTCGAAATCCCATGTGTAAGTCAAGTAGTAGATTAGGCCCCCTGCTGAGAAGGCCTGGCTCCTTCAGAGCCCTGTGGCCATAGCTTTCTCTTTGGTGTGTTTGGGTTCTGTGCTTTGAGTTTCACCTTTAAGCACTGGATGGATACACGGTGGTGATCCTTGGCAGGAGGTGAGCCTGGCTGGCATCTCCCCGGGTCATGGATTTAGTACCTGTCTTTGTATAGTCGAGATTGGGAAATAGATCCTCCGCCCATGCTGGAAGAGAGGCATGCCGTCTTCTTTCATTCCTACTCAAGCTGTCTTTGAGAAGGCGATGGGCAAGGTGTGCAAAGAGTTTACTTCCCCCATCAGCCCCACTACATCCGTCATCTCCCCCATACCATCAACAGTCGCAAAATCTTTTAATCTGATTAACTTTTTAGAATGTTTATAGTTTGGTTTTGATTGCTCAGAGTGCTTATCTATAACTACTTACATTTCAGATGTGCCTTGCTGGCCCAAATGTTGCACTTTGTCAGTTGAACCTCTTATACAAAGGTTTGAATTTTGAATATCATTCTGCTGGGCATTTTTTCTTTTAGCCCTTACACAAATACATATGCAGGGGCCTTCCCATTCACTGCTTCCCTCAGCTCTCACATCTGTCTCAGGGAGGCGTGTTCCAGTTTACAGATGAGACCGAGGCTGGTGTCACTCAGATGGTGAGGGTTACACTATGGCTAAAACTTTATCTTCAGGCTGGGAATCCAGTGCTCTGTTCAGTACACCAACATTCCCTGAATTTATTTGACCTAGGATCACTTTTTTTTTTTTTATCCTCACCTGAGAATATTTTTCCATTGATTTTCAGATGGAGTAAGGTTGGGGGGCGGGGCATTGATATGAGAGAAACACATCGACCAGTTGACCCCGCATGACCCCAACCAGGACCAGGGATTGAACCGCAACTGAGGCACGTGTCCTTGACCAGAATCAAACCCACACCCTTTGGTCTGAAGGCCAATGCTCTAATCACTGAGCCAAACTGGCCAGGGTGACCTAGGATCACTTTTTTTTTTTATCCTCACCCGAGGACATTTTTTGCATTTTATCTTATGATAGAGCGGGAGGCAGAGAGGGAGGAAGAGAGAGAAAGAAACATCAATGTGAGAGAGACACATCGAGTGGTTGCCACCCACACGACCCCAAACGGGACTGGGGACAAACTGCAACCAAGTTACGTGCCCTTAGTGGGAACCAAACCCAGGTCTCTCTAGTCCGCGGTTCACTTCTCTAACCGCTGAGCCAAACCGGCCAGGGCGAGGATCACTTTTTAAAAATAGAATATAGTTAAGGATGGAACACCATCTGTAGCTCATTAAAGTTTAAATGTTTAATAGACAATAACATTGAATAATACCATAAGTTACCGAAATTTTAGGACAAAATATGTAAGAGACTGATGGCTATGTAGTAGGTAACATGCACGACTGCAGCCATTAGCTGAGAGCAAATGCTGTCCGTCAGTGTGGACAGAGCTGGACTTCCTAGCACTCTCAGGATTAATCACCAATTTGTTTTAAAATTTCAATAACATATTAGTCAGGGTTTCTTATATTGCAGAGAGCAATAGACTATCTAAATTACTGACCAACCCTATGTTCTCATTGATCTGTAATTAAACACTGTGAGTGATTCCAGAATAATTATGGGCATAAAAGATGATTAGGAATCTACTCTGTCCTCTCATGCCAAAATGTCCATCGCATCCACATACCCTATCCTTAAAGGAAGGTTACTGGATACTAGTTTTATAATGACTTACAGGGGTTAAAAGTTAACTAGTACACTGATTTAACACCTCATGTTCATCCATGAAACAGAGTTTGGGAAATGTAAGTATATACTTTCCTTCTTTCCCTTTCTTCCTAATCCCAGACACTATGTTTGCCTTCTACTCATGTCATGTCCTCACCTCCTCAGGGATAGGCAAGAAAATATTGAGTCTCTATACATCCTTCTCCAAGGCCTGTGGTAGAAGCACGTTATATAACCTGAATACAGTGACAGCAGCATTATTATTCTGTGAGGCTAGGATATCACACAGGATCCCAAGGAATTTGGATCAATCATCCAGCTGATGAAATCAATTGTTTCTAGTTGTGTTTTTGTTGATGTTGATTAAGATGGTAATGAAAAGCAATTTTTAGAGCAATCATCTGCAAAGTGAGAGACAGATTAGCCAACTACCGTGTGGGCATAGATGTTCTTCCCTCTGAGATTGGAAGGGAGGGGACTCTGTGCTTCCATTAAGAACACATTCATTTCAAAACTGCCTTCATAGTGGGATTACCATGGCATAATCTCGGCCCCTGCCAATAGCTGTTTATAAAGACAACGCCTCAGAAATCTGTGAGCACGGTACTGACCCTTGAATCCACTTCTGCAGTTCAAGCTTTAGGGATGACTTTTTTCTCATTATTCCCTTGTTTCTTTTTTCTTTGCAGACCTGGCCAGAGAAATGTGGATGACCTGGAGATTATCTATGATGAGCTCCTTCACATTAAAGCCTTGTCCCATCTTTCTACCACCGTAAGTCGTCTCCTCTTGCACAGGGGCGGGGGACTCGGAGCTACACAGTTAGGACTGGGGGAGTGCGTCATGGCATGGAGGGCAGGAATGTCTGAACGCTACCTCATCTTTCTCGTGAGGTGCTAAATAAGTCATGACCAAGAACAAGCACTGTGATGGGGTCGAGTGTGGTCACATCATTAGCACTCACCAGCGTGCCCTGCACGCCAAAGCAGTTTGATGTAAGTGGGAATGGGACATACCTGAGCCTTGGAACCTGCACACTCTGGCAAGAGAGCCAGGCCCTCCAAGGGGCTCCGAGACCCTTCCGCGAAACACAGAGCCAGAGGGAGGAAGGAGAGAAATTAAGATGAGCGGTGCTGCCCAAGTGGCCAGCTTTGCTCAGGTTTGCTGCCCTATTGAGGAAGGACACAGAAGGTTCAAGAGAGCGTCACTTGAGATGTGTTAGGGCACAATAGCAGTACCTAGTAGTGAAAATGGCTCAATGCTGTATCTGACTCCAAACTACGTAACTAGGATGTTGAGGACAGCAGTGAATGGAAATTAAGCCCCTAAATAGGGACAGAAATACTCCTTCCATAGAAGGAACATAGGAGGAGGATTTCCAGGCAACACAGGCCTCCAATAATGCTAATAATAACAATAATAAAAGAAGTTGTTTCAGTGTTCACAGATTGTATACCGAGGCCCTTAGCAACACCTACCTCCCTAATTTGCCTTTCATTCCCAGCTCCCTGGGTGATTGTTACGCTATCACGTGGTAGCGGTGTCTCTGCTCCCTGCTCTGGGAGGTCGGCTTTGGGTCTCTGAAGAGAGCAGCGAGGCATTTTTCACAGCCTCAAGCAGGAGAGCTCCAAACCCTACACCCTTTAACCCAACAGACCTGCCTTCACAGCCCTACCCCCTGCACTGTTAGGGGTCCAGAGCTTGCTCACCTACGTGAAGACACCAGGGGCACGGTCCAGCCCAGCCTCCCCATCCACCCACCACTGCCCTGTCATCCTCACTTCATCCATGGGTGCAGGGAGGAGGTCTGGTGCCTGGGAGCCTTGTCTGGGGAGCCCCGCAAATGTAAGCACTACAGACACTCTCTACAGAGGAAGCGAGGGAAGACCCTGTTCCCTACCTGGGCTCCAGGTCCCCTGCATGCCCCTGCTCTGACTTCCCCAGACCTGACGGAATTGAGAAGATTATGGATAGTCCCTTCTTCTCCCTTAAACCACAGGTACCCAGGCATTGTGGGAACCTCTCAGGGAGATAGAGCCATAATTTGGGACCATAATTTGGAATTTAAAAAAAATTTTAAGTGTCTTGGAACATAAATCAGCTTACACATTTGAGCTTAATTATTCAACTACAAGACATTGAATTTTCAACATGTTTTCAGTGAAGCATCGGTGTGATGCAGGGAAGCACCTCTAACAGCAGCAGAGCGGGGTGTATTGTGGATGCCCTCACCTCCTCACCAAGGCTAAAGCTAGGCTGTGCGATGAGCTAGCGCACGCCTGTGAACCCACCTTCGAAACCATCTCTAGGGCGGTTGTCTCGTGTGAATTAGCTCAGACAGTAGCTTTTGCAAGAGCTTCAAGAATCTAATGGCAAATCTAGCGAACTTACATGCATCTACGCATAACCAATGGACACAGACAATAGTGTGGGGAAGGCAGGAGCGGGGCGGGATTAGGAAGGAAGAGGTCAATGGGGGAAAAGAGGAGACATCTGTAATGCATTCAACAAAAAAGATAAGTTTAAAAAGAAAGGAAAAGCTTCTAGATGGATAAAAAGTATTAGAATATGAAGGAAGTGGATGATTAGGGTAATAACTAGTATTTATTGAGCAGTTGACATGTGCCAGACACTGTAGTAAATGCATAACCTCATTTAAATGGATGTCTATCCTGTGAGTTAGGAAGCGTTGGTCTTATTTACAGCCCAGGGAACCGGAGCTGCGAGGGGTGAGTGATTTGCCCCAGCTCCTGACCAGCGGCGCTGGGCTTCCAAGTCGGATAGATCTGAATGCCGAGCCTGTGTTCTCAGCATCGTGCATATAATTAGCCATAGCTTTAGTTCATTTAATTGTGCAATTTGACTATTTTACAAGCAAAATCATTACTCGAGGTACATTATTTTGTGTTTTATCCTGTATAAAATAAAGTGTTCTTGAAGCTGAATAAGAAAAGAATGTGGTTCTAGACCACAGTAGCAGTAAGCAGAGTCGGGATGGGCGGTGTGGGAGGAAGGGCACAGTTAGCGCCGCTCAGAAAGGGACCGTGTCCCTCCCCTTCCCGCTGAGCTGGCCTTTCCACACGCTTTCTGCTTTCTTCCAGGTGAAGCGGGAGTTAGCCGGCGTTCTCATTTTTGAGTCTCATGCTAAAGGAGGCACCGTGTGTGAGTGGAAGCTGCCATCGGCGTTGCTAGCGCCTGCCTAGCCCCCTCCCGAGCACATGCCATGGAAGGCTGACTGCAAATGCCCCCTTGGGCCAGGCTCAGACTTGGCAGAGCGTCCTGTGTCACTTGGTTTTCCGGACCTGTGTTCATTCCGGCACATGTTTGTTATTCTGCAGCCCGGCGGTCTTCTGGGACCAGCGTGGCGCAGCCGCCAGTCTGAGCCTCTGCTCGCGCCCAGCTGCTGGCTCAGGCCGTGTTCGCAGAGGGTGGGATGAGATGCTGCTCCTCAGGCGGGACCTTTCACACTGACCCCACTTCATGGGCAGTGTTAGAGGAATAGTCCAGATTGCTCGTTAGAAGGGTCCTGTTCTCTGCTCTCGCTTCCCCTCTCGGCTCCAAGCCTCTGAGCCCAACACGCAGTATTTAGGGTCTCTCCAGGATCCAGGCTGTGACTTAGTTCTGTGATCATATTTGGAAGCAAGAAATTGAAATTTGGTATCAGTAAATGTGAACAACATTATTCAGGCTAACATTGCCCGCTAACCTGCAAAGTCCTTGGAAGGCAGGGTTAGTGGTCTGCTCGGGGCAGGAAATGCCACCCTCTCGAATCTCTCTTGGAGAACCGTGCGCCTCAGCACGCGAAGTTCTCAGAAGTGCTGCAATGAAAACAGTGTTCACTCCATGTAGACTCACAGTTCCCAAGCCCAGTACAACACAGAACGCTTGTTTAATGGACACCTGTTAACGTTTCAAGAGACATTTCTTGAAAAGTCTTGCTCTTTCTTCAGACTACGCATTAGTCAAATAAGTAGGGGGCAGGAATTGTAAAAGCAAAAGGAATTATTAAAAATTATATTTCAAAATGTTTTTCAGTCATCAAAAGTGATCTCTCTAGCCCTGGCCAGTTTGGCTCAGCAGATGGAGCGTCGGCCTATAGACCGGAGAGTCCCGGGTTCGGTTCCTGCTAAGGACAATTACCTTGGTTGCAGTTTGTCCCCAGCCCCAGTTGGGGTCGTGTGAGTGGCAGCCACTTGATGTGTCTCTCTCACATTGATATTTTTTTCTCTCTCTCTCCCTCCCACTCTCCCTCCTGCTCTAGCTGAAGATAAATGCAAAAAAAGAAAAAAAATGATATTTCTAATATTGACATTTATTTTAGTAAGAATGTCCTTTCTTGAAATTTTAAAGGTTTGCTTTAGTATTTAAAAAATTGTTATGATCACTGGTGATTTACAACTTCTCTTTTATTCTTTTCATTCAAACTTACTGATTGTTTTCATTTCATTATGAAATATTTAAATATTTCAAACAAATAATAGAGATTATTACAAGCACCTTTTTAATCTTTATTAAACACTAAATGCATTTTTTTTTATGTTTTCTATAGAATGACATTATCTGAGGAATGGGGTAGTCCCAGAGATGTGGAAGTGGGGTACAGACTGACAATCCCCAGAAGACGGGGTGGGGGAGAGATAAACCACAGAACTTAAATGCATGTATGCATGCACAATGGACGTGGACAACAAAGCTGGGGACAAGGCGGGGAGGGAGGGGGAGGGGGAGTCAGTGGGGAGAAAAGGAGAAACATTTGTTAACAAAAATAAATTAATTAATTAATAAAAAAAAGAATGACATTATAGTTACAGCTGAAGGTCCCTTGCTTCCTCCTTTATCTTACTCTTCTCTTTCCCTCTCCAAGGTAACTTCTACCCTATATGTAACGGTTATCATTCCAACCCCTTAAAATATATATCTCTATATATCTATATGTATCTATATAGATATATATGTAGATAGATATATATGTAGATATATGTCAATATATGTCGATATATAGCCATAAACAATAAGTAGTAGTGATTTGCATGTTTTCAATTTACATTACTGGTCAGATTACTTTTTTATTGTTGTTAATCCTCACCGGAGGATAATCCTCCATTGATTTCCAGATAGAGTGGAGGGAAGAAGGGAGGGAGGGAGAGAGAGAGACAAATATCAATGTGAAAGAGACACAACAACTGGCCAGGCCAGGAATCGAACCCACAACGCTTCGGTCCTTAGGCCTCTGCTCCAACCATTGAGCCAAACTGGCCAAGGCTGGTCAGATTACTTTCAAAAACTGTTTTCTGTAGCATAATACGTGTTGATGAACTGAGAGTGGACGTGTATTGCTTGGTGAGCTGGCTTGCTGGGGGATTGATGTCTTATGCACACAGCTCTGTCAGGGCCAAGCCGATAGAGCAGTGTTTCTGTTCCTTTTATGATCTATAGAAAAGGAAAGAATATCCCACCTGAATAAGTTAGTATTTTCCAGTAATTTTTTTCCCTTCTAGAATAAATGTGTAATTCTGGGAACTTAAAAATGATGGTTTGATAAGCTGTAATTTATATTGATGTGCTTCTGTTCTTGTCATAATTTTAGTGTTTAACCAGGGGGAAGAAGGTACCTCCTGGTACATTATTCTGAAAGGATCGGTGAATGTAGTCATTTACGGCAAGGTACATACATATACATCCTTTTCTTTCCCAACCTTTACACTGTTCCATTTACTAGTGCAGCTCTAGGTAGTAACAATGTAGTGCTACAATTAAACTGCAACAACATTGTTACTCTATGTAGAAATGTCATTATAGCGTCTAATCATAAATTATCTCAATAGTTATACACAGAGTAGTGTTGAACTTTCTGGGGCTCATCTCCTTATAGATTATAATGTATACATTTAAGTTACTCCATAGCCCATATTACTCAATAAAAGAAAAATGAAACATTATAATTTAATTATATAACCCCTCTTTGGCATCCCTAAGTACAGCCCATTTATATATACAGTGTGCCAGGGAAATGGGGTCCTGTGGCATGAGGCGGGTGGGTGTTGGCTCTGTTTTAGGGATCATCTCCATCTGAATGTTTGTTCTCCTCAGGGTGTGGTCTGTACCCTGCATGAAGGAGATGATTTTGGCAAGTTGGCACTAGTGAATGATGCCCCGAGAGCTGCCTCTATTGTCTTACGAGAAGATAATTGCCATTTCTTAAGAGTCGACAAGGAGGATTTCAACCGGATTCTGAGGGTAAGGCCACGGCAAAGCATGGCTGAAGGGCATGCCATTTTTCGTTTTGCCAGAGAAGAAAAGCCTTGAGTATAGTGTTAATTGAGCGGTGCTGTGATTAAAGAAGCTCCAGGAACAAAGGGCCACGGTCACAGACCTGGGGTGTTCGGTGTGCTGGTGTGCATTCTGGGGCCCAGAGGGAAATTCCAGGGAGGCTGCAGTGTGGCAGGCTGGCTAGACCAGACAGCTTTGCATGTGCCTGAACCGGTCCAGGAGCACAGAAGACAGGGGCACTGCCTTGGCAAGTGTCAAGGTGAAATGTTTCTCTGCAATCCTGGGCTTCCACTTTTGTGCCTTCCTCCCTCATGCTTTCTCTTTCCCAAACCTTTCTAGTCTCCACCAATCTCTTCCCAAATCTGAACCTTTCTATGACATCACACACTCTCTTGATTTATTGATCGATTACATTTTAGTGGGGCTTAATGTTAATCGTGATTACTCTAACCAAGCATTTTCATTTTGCGTGCTTTGTGTCAAATTGATTCACACTAAAGGAATTCCTGGCTTGGGCAAGTAGGTGAAGAACAATTGCATGTCAAGCTGGCTCTGCAGATAGGCCTAATCTGAGCTTGTTACAGTATCTGTGAGAGTGGGTGTTCTTTAGAAGAGATGGTCTCTGGACTTTCCCCACCATGCAGCCCCTGGTCCCTTGGGAGGAACAATCAGCTCTGGCAGCTGGAGGCCTGATTATGGACTGCTGGGGATGCTGACAGTGTCCCATCACCCCTGGCCTCCCAGGTGGCCCATACTCCATCCCTCCCTAGCTTGAGTTCACCCGGAGATACGGATCCCTCCAGGATCACTCTGCTCTGTTCCCTTCCCTGCTGGCCCCCAGAGCAAACTCTCTTCTCTGCCTCTCCCACCCTTAGCATCATTGTCCATCCTACCTGAAAATCCAAAATGCAGCTTCTATATGCTTTTTGGTACATTTGACATTATTTAACAGTTATTTACAATGTCATTCTTCATTCCTCATGCATGGACACCTATCACTACACAGCCTTAAATACTTGCCTTGGTGGCACAATTTCTGCACCAAAGTTTGTCTTAGGAGTGCTTCTCTCAATGCAAAGAAAGTTCAATTAAAAGCTGTACCATTGGCCCAGCGAGTGTGGCTCAGTGGATTGAGGGTTGTCTGGTGGACTGAGAGGGCACATGCCTGGGTTGCGATCTCTACATCAGTATTGTTTCTATCTCTCTCTCCTGTCCCCCACTCTCTCTCTCCCTCAAAAAAAAAAATCAATTAAAAAAATAAAAAGCTGTAGCATTGAATAATATAGAAAAAAATACCACATGAAATTTGACTTGCTTCTTATCTAATCTCTTTTAAAATGGGGGTCAAATGATGAGAAAAAGCACATTAAATTTTTTAAATTAATTATTTAAAATGACATTGAAATGTAGAGGTAAACTAATTAACTCTTTGAAATTTGCACATACGGAGTTTACATTTAGCCAAGAACTTATTTCATAGAATCACATTAGGACCATGATTATTGATGTAATTTATGAAATTATTCAAAACAACTGAAAAAAATGGTTTTAACACATTTCAAACTGACTGTGTAAAAATAAACAGTCTTAATTAGAGAGAAAAGTACCACTCCTAAGAAAATTAAATACCCTCTGAAGAAAATCAGAATGAAAGAACTTGGTGGAAGCTGAATGTGTTTGCCACTTATGTTTCTAGAGATAAATGCTTTGCTCCCTTGTCTCCCCGCCATACCACCCTCTCGCAAAGGTTCCCCAGAGCACAGGCACGCTCCTCTCTACTCTGCTGATTTTCTGAATCAGGGGTAAAAGCAGAGCTTTAAAACTACATGTCTAAAGCTCAGCTGGTCCATTCTCTGGCCGTTCCAGCCCTTGACTTTGAAAATGACTTAATTTGTAGACACAACAATTAGCATCACAAGTACCAAATGAGTTTCTGAAGCATTTGAAATTTTTTTCATTGTCTGAGCAAATGGCAGCATCTGTATGTGGTGTGATTTGTATTGCAGGACGTCGAGGCAAACACAGTCAGACTTAAAGAACATGACCAAGATGTCTTGGTGCTGGAGAAGGTCCCTGCGGGGAACAGGGCTTCTAATCAAGGAAACTCACAGCCTCAGCAAAAGTAGGTTTGCATCCACCACTGCAATGCCAGACTGCGATTAACCTTTTCACATGGTATCGTCATTTCTGCAGTAGCATGTTCTCCTTTTCTGTGGAAGATGGCCCTGTGTGTGACTTCTTTCCTGGACTAATCACATATTTTGTGGAGGATAATGTATCCATTTCTGGCACTGTGTTTAGCTTGGTGCTTAGAGTGATTTGAGGTGGGGAAGTGGGGGAATATTCCCCTACTCCAAAAATGCTCTCTGGATACAGTGTTCAATTGTAACAGCTTGGGACAGAAGGTACGGAGGGAACAATGGAAGTAGGAATGCCAGGCAGCTCCAAGGACATGGAGGCCCTAGGTGATGAGAACCTTCGGTATTTGGATTTCATATGGAGGATTTCTCAAGAAGTGTTTTCATCTTGTTATCAAAATGAGCATCTTTGACAGAAACCCAGATTTCAAATATAAGGCAGGCTGTTGATCGCAGCCCGGAAGCATCCGTTTGGCCTCCTCCATACTTATTCCTGCTATTGTCAAACGCGTACTTGCTTTTCGGGTCCCTGTTTAACTTGGGTCTCTACAGCATATGTATGTTCAGTTCCATCTTTTGCAGCAACTTCCTACTTGAGACTTTTTCATCAAATGTACCAACATTTGAATGGTAGTACAGGAGAATTAGAAAATGTAGCTCCAAGAAACTGTAGAAAATCACAGAATCTCATTTTGAAAAAAAAGATTAATGTTCAGTCTTAGGATAATAAAAATAGCAATTCTGTAGCTAAGGAAACATCACCAAATAAGACGCTGAAGAAGAATGCATGCCAGTAGTTTTCCTTTGCTTGCCATGGAGATGGGTATTCTCTTTCCTCCGGACACTCTCCGTAACTGATGCATTTCTTATTGTTTAGACTGAAAACCTAAGGCTCAGATATTTTCATCTGGATGAATCAATATATTTACAAGGAAGGTGGGAAGAAATATAACATTATTGAGTAGTCATAATATATTTTGCATATATTATGTAATCCCTTTTTACAACCCTTTCAACAGATGAAAAAATTTAGGCTCAGAGAAGCAAAATACTTGCTCAAGGTTACAAAGTTTATAATGATAGAGCTGGGATTCAGGTCCAGTTTGATTAACTTTCATGCCTTTTCTCACAGATGACTATAGCAAACTATGTTGTATAAATACTGTATCCTCAACACTATCTAGTAAACCTTGCAAACCAATATATTTCAAAAAAAAAAACTGACATAAAATGGACTATATAAGAAGTATCCTTTCCCTTGCAAACCTATACATGACCGTCCACAAGTCTTCTTTTTCTTTTTCACTACTATCCATTCTTGAAAATGTTCTTGCTCGAGTGCTTTTAACAGTTGTCCTTCCAGCCCTGGCTGGTTTGGCTCAGCTGTTAGAGCATCAGCCTGCGGTCCAGAGAGACCTGGGTTCGGTTCCTGCTAAGGGCGCATACCTCGGTTGCAGTTTGTCCCCAGCCCTGGTTGGTCATGCGGTGGCAGCCACTCCATGTGTCCCTTTCATGTCAACGTTTCTCTATCTCTCTCTCTCTCCCTCCCCACTCTATCTGAACAAAAAATGAAAAAAATGTCCTCGGGTGAGGATAAAAAAACAAAACAAACAAACAAAAAAAAAAACAGTTGTCCTTCCAGCCCACAGAGGATGAAAATTAAGACCTTTTTCATGTGAAGGTTGGGACTACCCCCAGTGATTTTCCTTGGTGCTCTTACATATAACTACACCATTTTGTGCTGATAATCTATATTCTTTAATAATGCTTCAGATGTCTCAGGAAAATTTTGAGATCTAAAAGAGGAAGCCTTGAAAATTCTCCTTAACCTTGAAACATTCAACCGGGAGGTCCCCTTCCTCCACCTCTTTATTTTGATCTTCATGTCAAAATGATCAAAAGCATTTGCTTGTTACACATCTTCTATTCAGAGTACTTTCCAAATATACATTTTTTAAATGAAATCAAACTAAGGGGAACAGAGAAGGAGAGGCCACGTATATTAAGCTTATTTTAGGCCTGCATCTGATTTGTGTTATATCTCCTTATTTGCATACTCTAGACCAATCCAGATTTTTATTTAATTCTAAAACCTGTGCATGTTCTCAACACACCCTTTAAGAAATATCAGTGAGTACAAAATAGTGTACCATGCAAAGTCAGTTTACTGAAGAATAAAAAACCGCTCCCTTAAGGGTTTGTTTTGGGGTTTTTCTTGTGATACATGCCCCTAGCAGGAACCGAACCCAGGACTCTCTGGTCTGCAGGCCGATGCTCAACCACTGAGCCAAACTGGCCAGGGTTTTCTTTTCTTTTTTTTCTTAAGGGGTTGTTTTTGATGTTGAGCTTCCCCAAGCCGGACCAGATTTGAAAATGGGAGACTGTCAAGTGAATTTTGACCTGATATTCGGAATAACTTTGATAATCATGTCTATGGATGGACTTAAAGGTTAGGACCTTTTAGGGCTTCTATTTCCTTAGAAATGGTCCTATTTGAGCTCAAGAAGCGTCACTGTTGGTGCTGACAATAATGTTATTTTCTGATTCCCTTTTCTCCAGAGAAGTTTCAGAACTGCCTCACTCTGTCCAAGCCACTCACTGAGTGTAATAGTAAAACATCAATTGCTAGACAGTACTTCTCATGATGGATAAACTTTATGGAGCCCTCAAAAACTTACCATTTTGGTTATCTTCTGCTCTGTGGTTATGTGGTTTAGTAAGAAAGAAAGAATTTTGAATGACTCTTTCTCTTTTAGTTACTGTGTTCTTTCTCCTTAGACTCTCAACCACCCTGTTCAATTCCATCCTGTTTGCAGAAAGATAGTCTCTTTCAGGCCCCTACCACCACCACCACTACCACCTCTTTTTTTTGTTCTGGGTACAGATGGAAATGTCTCTTTTCCTAACATCATTTCCAGACTTGATGTTAGGAAAAGATCTCTGTTACAGACTTTAAACTTCCCAGCTTGGATAATGTGATCATTGGAGTTCTTGTTAGCTTGGACTGAAGTAGCTCCTTTGTGCAATAAACTGAACAGAACCCTGCTGTTTGGTCTTCAAGTCCCTCATTTAAACAGAGGTCAAGCAGTAGGCGCCTGGGAGTGTCCAGCCTAAAACAAAGCAATAACATGATGTGTCAGCCAAGCCCAGAGGGCTGAGCCTGGCCAGAAGCTCCCTAGCCTCCCCTCTTCAGAGTTCCCGGCCTTAAAAGAATGTCGATGCCTGAACAGCCTTCTGAGGCCTTAAGAGCGAGGACGGGCAAGGCAGCCACAGCTGCTGCACCACTAGAGGGCGCCCTCGGCAGCCAAAGGGAGAGCCCCTGGTGTCAGATTGACCTGGTGGGCCCAGTTGAGACCACTTTTCTTTAGTGAAGTGACAGGATACGTGGCTCGCCATCTTGGTCTTGATTCTTTTTGACCAGACATAATACCCTAGCTAAGAGATGTCCAAATAAGAACACCTTAATGTGAAGCCAACCTTCTATTAAACTTTGACAAGGGAGCCCGTTTCGGTCTGGTGTATCCGTCCTGTAGCCAGGTATGCAGCGTCCCAGCAGCAGCTGCCCAGTGAGTAACAAGTGACTGATTTGTAATGCAATATGTTTGCACTCTAATTTAAGTAGAACTCGTTTTCAGAAACAAGCAAACAAGTTTTCTTCAGAGGGGTTTTTCTTTGCACAGCAGACTTCCTGCTCAGAATGAGCTCCAAGTAGCAAATGTAGCCTCTGCCCAGAAGGTCTCTGCGCAGGCGCACAGTGCCATGAGGCTCACGCTCGCGCTCTGACTCAGGTCGCAGCAGAGATCTCGCATTTACTATGACTGTGGGCCTGGTGCCTCCTCTTACAGAGCGGTTTCTCCACCTGCAGAATAAAGATAATATTTAACTAGCAGAAGTAACCATTAGGACACTGTTCAGAGCCCACCTTGTTGTCTGGGGCACAGTAAACATTCAACAGATGCTCAGCGCCCTCTCCAACCCCAGTTCCTGCGATGTGCCCAGATGCCTCTCCCTTGCCAGCCCATCCGCAGAACACTGTCAAAGAATCATGGCTTTCAGGAGTCACTGAACGAACTCAATAATTTTCTCCATTTAAGTGTTGAAAGTCTTTTATAGAGACTCCCTCTCTTTTCCTCAAATATTCATTGCCTACAAGAGGAAAAACCATTGTCTTCTACCTTATTTACTTTGAGAAAGGGGTCATGCTTTTGAGATTAAGATATTTTTCCTATTTCCCCTCTTCTTCTCTAGTCTCCAAAGCCAGGTTTCCTCAAGATGCAACTCTTCGATTCTTTTTGCCCCTGTGTACATGCACACACGCAAACAGCATAGTTTTAGCTAATGATTGCCCTCCAGGTAGACTGCATTACCTCATTCAATACCAGAGTTGCTTCACCCACTCTCTGTTTTCACATGCAGAGAGTCATATGTTGAACTGCTTCTTCTTTTTTGGAATCTCAATACACTACCTCCAAGATCTTAAACAGGCAAAGAAAAGGTGTTGGTAAGAAGGCAAAGAAATGAGGTTCTCCTAGAGCCAAGTTCTACCACTGCTTTCTGAACATAAGAGAATTTTATTTTCACTGTTGTTTTTCTTCCCTATCACTTCGCTTTAGGTGAAATGCCAAGCAGAAAAGCAAGTCTGAGTTTTGGAATAGGAGCCCCATATCATGTCAATATATTTATTTTAATTTTTTTTCTTTATTGATTTTAGAGAGAGAGAAAGGGAGAGAGAGATAGAAACATCAATAAAAGAAAACATCCATTGGCTGCCTCCTGCATGCCCCCCACTGGGGATTTGGCCCACAACCTGGGCATGTGCCCTGACTGGGAATCGAATTGAAGACCTCTTGGTGCATGGGTCAACGCTCAACCACTGAGCCATACCAGCCAGGCTCATGTCAATGTATTTAGCCTCTAGTGCTCATTCAGTGTCTTGTTACCACCTTGAGTATGACTTTGAAATAACTTGCATTCAATTTTAAAGTGAATCTTTTCATGCTGATTGAAGAGCTGCATGGGTGGATCTTCTGAAATAATGACTACCCCCCCCCCAATAATATATGTTTGACATTGAAATAAATTATATGAATTTTTTGTTGCTGATTTATTTCCTATTCAGATGCTCTTGGAGTTTGCTTGTTTGCTCATTGGTGTTTGAGTTTTGGGGTTTTTTTCCTCCTGTTTTATTCTTAGCTGTATTTCCAAAGCACATGCCAGTGTACAGTTGGGAAAGACAGAGCATTCCAGAAATAGGCAGGGGAATCCAGTGTGGGACTGAAATTTTGCTACAAGTAACCCATATACGGGTAACCTAGTTTACTGTCCCTTCCCCTTCCAGCTCCCCTGCCTGTCCTGGACTGACCTGGGATTCACATGTTTCTTTTCATTCCTCTTGGAACAAGGCTGGAGTTGCTCAGTTCCCAGCCTGCTAGAGACACTCTCCAAGAAACTCACTTGAGTTCCATATAGGGAAAAAAGAGTCACGTTTCAGTAACTACCTTAATCTGTGGGTTTTCCATCATCTTCCTCTGTGACTTTGGCAAGGTACAAGGTCTCTCTTACTATAAAGAGACTATGGGCCATAAGGTAAGTCAAAATGGTTTCCTGGGATCTCAAAAAAAAAACAAAAAAAAAACTTAGATATGTGAAAAGTTATGTATTAATGATTTGCCCACTTTTGAAAAGCTAACGATGCTTTTATTTTTTATCCAGGTATACTGTGATGTCAGGAACACCTGAAAAAATTTTAGAGCATTTTCTAGAAACAATACGCCTTGAGCCAGGTTTAAATGAAGCAACAGGTAAATACCCAGAAGAGTTTGTGTGTTCACTAAATCCATGCAGAGCCCTGTAAAAAAAAAAAAAAAAAAAAATCGTGAATTCATTCTCAGCATGCATAGCCAAAAGAGTCTTAGAAGGGGCTTAGGTGTGTTTACATTCTAAGAGCATCCCTGGGTGGCCCGCTCAGGGACGTCCTTCCGATCCTCCTCGGGCCCTCCATTCCTGGCACTCTCATTCATACACACTAGATTAGCCTTCCATAGGCACTAGATTAGCACACTAGATTGACCTGCCAAGGTTATCACTTGTTTTTAATCCTCACCCAAGGATATGTTTATTGATTTGAAAGAGAGAGAAAGAGAAACACATTGATTGGTTGCCCCTGCACATGCCCTGACTGGGAATCAAACCCATGACCTTCAGTGTACGGAATGATGCTTCTACCAACTGAGCCGCCAGCCAGGGCTCTTAGGTTGTCATTTAAATTCACCTTTACAGGCATCTGTTAGGTTGTCATTTAAATTCTACCTATTCCCATACAGGATTTGCTGCTGCCTACACACGAGGCACAACCTTGCTCCAACAGGAGCAAAATGGTTCCTCTCTGTGGTTGTAGATTCTTGGGATGCCCAGAGTGTAACTAAACACCACCTATGCCCTGGCCGGCTTGGCTCAGCAGTTAGAGCGTCGGCCTGCGGTACAGAGAGACCCGGGTTCGGTTCCTGTTAAGGGCATGTACCTTGGCTGCAGTTTGTCCCCAGCCCTGGTTGGGTCGTGTGGGTGGCAGCCACTCGATGTGTCCCTTTCACGTCCATGTTTCTCTCTCTCTCTCCCCCTCCCACTCTACCTGAACAAAAAAATGGAAAAATGTCCTTGGGTGAGGATAAATAAATAAATAAATAAATAAACAAACACCACCTATATGAGTTGGCTGGGGCTGATGTATCGAAGTACCCCAGATGGGATGGCTTAAACAACAGCAGTGTATTGTCCTAAAGTTCTGGAAGCTAGAAGTCTAAGATCAAGTTGAAGGCAGGGTTGGTTCCGTCCAAGGGCTGTGAGGGAGAATCTGTTCTACCTCGCCCCTGGCTTCTGGCGTTTTGCCAGCAATCTTTGGTGTTCCTTGGTTTATGGATGTATCCCCATGAACTCTGCCTGCGTGGTCCCGTGTCCTCCCTGTCTCTTCACATAGTCTTTCTTCTGTGCCTCTGTCTCTGTTTCCAAACTTTCTCTTTTTAAAAGCACATCAGTCACATTGGATTAGGGCCCACACTAATAACACATCTTAACTTGACAACACCTACAAAGACCCTGTTTCCAAACAGGGTCACATTCTGAAGTCCGGAGATTAGGACTTCAACTCTCTTTGGAGGAGGAAAAAATTCAACCCATAATACTGCCTTATAGTGAACCAGTCTTATGAACTAAGACACAGAGGTTGGAGGATGAATGATGAATCTCCTGTGAACTGTGTTCAGAGTTATACTATCATCCTCCACTTTGGGAACCACTTTGCTTGTAACTTTGTAACAAACTACATTCAACTTAAAAAAAAAAAAAAAAATCCCATGCCTGTCACTCAGAATCAAAGGTTAATATTTTAAGCAAACAGCTCCATGGAAGATTTCTCACTAAAAGAAGTTCAAAGATTGATTAAAAACCTAGTGGTAGTTCAAAGTTGATTTCCATCCTTTTTGCAGTATACTCAAGGTGAAATTATTATTTTTATATACTTCCTCAAAGCATTTTATCACTGATTATTTCTTATTGTAGCTCTTCATTTCAGGTTCTCATTTTATAAATAGATTATCTGAGATATTCTTTATATATCACGTTAATCGGGAAGTAGTTGTCATAGAGCCAGGACCTCCAGCTCCAGGGCTGTTAGTTCTGGTTCAGTATTTGTTGTGTCTTCCTGGGCACTCAGCTGGCTACTTCAGACTAGGCACTGTGGACAGGAAACCGCTCGCCCATCCTCGGGATGGTATAAGCTACTGGAGGACACAGAGGCATGTGCAAATGGCTGGGACGTAAAGCAGGATGTGGTCAGTGCTTCAGGAGCACTGACTAGTTGAGGGGACCAGGCAAAGTGTCGTGGAGACGATAGCCTTAGAGGTGGCCCTGAAAACAGGCTGGTGCCTACTAACCAAAGACTAGGGACAGAGCTTTCCCTGCTGAGGTACAACATTAGTGCCCACATAGAAGTGGTCAGGGAAGGTCAAGCAGCTTGGTTTTGCTGGGCTATCGCATACAGAAGTGGGAGAAGGAAGGTAAAGTCTAAGCACTTGACTACAGATCTTGGAGCAGCTTAAATGCAAAGCTCAGCAGTGGGGAGTGGCTGAAGATACCGGAGCGAGGAGACTGCAGTGAGCCTCATGATAAGAAACTAAAGGAGGCAGTGAAGTGGGAGACCCTTAGCGTTTATAAATGTATAGCACAGTGGGAAATATCAGGGTTCATAGTGAAACTGGCTTACATCATAGAAATGGACACCTCTGGGTTTGACAGTACATTTGCTTGATTTACCAAAACGTCTACTTTCTGTCTTGGACCTATTTGTTTCCTAGACTTTTAACTTCTAGGACTAGCATTAGTCACTGAGTGACTTGGGAAATTATTTTCTAGTAGGAAATGATTGGTAAAAATTAGTTCTTGCCCTGGCAGGTTTGGCTCGGTGGTTAGAGTGTCAGCCCACGACTGAAGGATCACGGGTTTGATTTCCGATCAAGGGCATGTACCTGGGTTGCAGGTTCATTCCTGGACCTTGGTCAGGGTCATACAGGAGATAATCAGTAGATGTGTCTCTCTCACATTAATGCTTCTCTCTCTCTCTCTCTCTCTCTCTCTGTTTCTCCCTCCCCCCTTCTCTCTCTCCCTCCCTCCTTTCTACTCTATCTTAAAAAAAAAAAAAAAAAGTTTAATGGAAAAATATCCTTGAGTGAGAATAAGAAATAAATTGTAAAATATAAAAAGTGGTCCTCAAGAATATTCAGGAAGAGAAAGGGAAGCTGTGGTGACACGTGGGTGCTGGCAGTTGCCACGCCGAGCAGCTGCTGCTCAGACTTGGAGTACTCTGCCGAAACCCCTCCTGAGCAAACGTGGGCTCCCGTAGGGCACAGGCCTTCTGGGAGCCTCGTAAGCAGGCATCCCCTCCCCTCTCCTCAGAGAACATCTCAAACATAAACGAGACCCTAGATGTCAAACTTAAAAGTTCTATACAACTTCTGTTTGCATCTTCTCTGGTTCAGTGTGATGACTGAAATGACTGGTAAACCGAGTCGTGACAGGGAGACAGCTTGGGATTACACTTAGCCCTTATATTTAAATGAGCAGAACAGTCTCACGTGACGTGGTAGAGCTGTTTGCTAACACCACGGTGGTAATCACCTTGCAGTATCTAAATGTATTACATCAACACATTGTACATCTGAAACTTACATAATGTATGTCAATTACATCTCAGTTTTTTAAATGAGTATAATGGTTAAACCTTTGATTACAGATTCCAACTTTGCCAATATAAGTTAATTTAAAACATAGACATTAATATTTACCTAATTTATATAGTTACAATTTCCATATTTCTCACTATTTTCAGTGTGAAAAGTTATGCAGGTTTCACAAATCTCAGCCGGTGTAGTTCATTTTTTCATTGAAAATCTCCATAGCGACTTGGATTCCAAATTTCAACAGGTGCATTCCATAGGCTCTGAGGCCTGTCCCTCCAGCGCCGACTAGACAGTGTTGTCTTTGCAGAGAAGAGGCAGCATGAATTCAGACTGAAGCAGATGAAGCTTATCTGTGGTCTGGCCTTGTTTCCCTGCTCACCTACCTGCAAAACAGCTTGAATACAGGACAGTTGCGTTTTAATCTACTGGGGAGCTCTGTTTTGCTTCAGTTGCTACTCACAGCTTTATCTTTACTTTTTTCCTGCTTTTGTTGCCCTCACCAATTCTCTGCTCTTACCACCTCCTTTTTCTGTAATTCTAACATCCTCTCATCCTTCATTGCTCCCTATGGAAGTCGGAGGTGAAATAGAGATTTAAAAAAAAAAAGTGATATTGACAAAAGACATATGGTGTAAAGTTGACCAAAAAAAATGTTTTTCTGCATATATGGTACTACCCAGGGGTGCTCTTTAAATATGTATACATATGCATGAAGTTATTTTTATATGCAGTGCCTCTGTGTACAGTAACCACAATTCTCCAAGCCAACATATGAGAACCCTCTGTCAAGAACCAATGTATAGATACTCTTGCTTTCCTAAAGATTTCTGTAAGAACCTAATTGCCTTTTCTGCTTTGCATTTTCTTTCCACCTGCAGATTCTGTTTTAAATGACTTTGTTATGATGCACTGTGTTTTTATGCCAAATACCCAGCTTTGCCCAGCCCTGGTGGCCCAATATCCTTTTTCTGTGAAAAGTCTCTATCCCCTTGAAGACACCCCACATGTACACGGCCCTTGTCTCATCCCAGCCTCCGCAGGTAAGTCATGGCCCGGCCAGAGCTGTGTTCTCCCCTGTCTCGCTGAAACATCAGCTGTGCCCTGTGTGAGGATTTCTTCCTCACTACCTGTGTAAGACGGGAGCCAAGTCCCCTCAGGAAGGTGGTGCTGGTTAGAAATATACCTACTTGGGAGGTAGGCTAGAGAAATTGATGGAGAAGAATCTGGGAGTGTTATTAGGGATAGTTCCCTAGCGTGGGAGGCAGACTTGTGCCTCTGTTCGGACACCTGGCGGGTTGGGTGGTGGCCTGTATGCCTCCTCGAAGCTGCAGTGCTGATCAGACCACCAGCCCACGGGGACAAAGGCAAGTCATCGCTGCGGGGTGGTGTTTCTTTTACATTTGTCCTGGTCCATCCTCTCCTCTAGATACCGAACTGTATTCCTTCATTGCTGTTTTTATTATCACATTTACTTACATGAAAGATATAAAACTTGACATCCTAATGGCAGTTCTTCTCGGCAGCTTGAAAGCTGAGTTTGTTCGAAGCAGCTTGTCAGTAGTCTATTGAATGGACCCCTTGGTAAACCGTATCTGGCACAGAGGGAACTTTCAGAAAATGGAAGTTGAATAAAATAAGCAAATATTATTAATGAGTCACATCCTCAACTTTGGGGGGCATGTGAAAGTGTATTTTCCAATTCTGCTTTATTTTGAAAGCAACAAAAATTTAGAACCAGAAACAACTTTGGCCTTTTGTGAGCAGCTAAATATACCGAAGGAGAATAGCTTTCTTTTATTCTGGGCAATCCAGTCTGCTGGGCATGCTTTCTGTTTTCAGAATCATAATTGCCCTACCTGATTCTCATTTTCTTGCTCTCCCATCATTCTCTTCGAAGTCAATAGAATGTGTGAGGAGAGGAGATTTGAGTTGAATGTGTTATTCAGAGGGAGCTACAAGAGTGAAATTTGGGTGTTTATTTGCCTGGCAACTATCTTTCTAAGTAAAGACAGCTTAATGAGACTTATATATGTTATATATTCTTCCTGGCTCATAGTCAGGTTTTCTCAAGTAAAATAAACACAGGATCTCTCTCTGCTCTTTTAACTGTGCGTGGTAGTCGTGACTAGATCTTGAGGATTTGTTGGCAGGAAAAATAAAAACCACCATTGAGTTTACAGTAATTTTTTCAACAGCAGGTTGATAAGCTTAAGGCAAACAAATCCAAAAGCAGAGTGAGTGAGAAAGTACAGTGGACCAAGTCGTATCATCTTTACAACTCAAGCCCCAAACGCTACGCTTATTTTTTATTTTTATATTTTGCAAATTCTGATTTGTTTATTTATTAGCGTGTTCTCCTTCAGAGTTGTTTGAGAACATTCGCTATCACTGACCTCTGTTTTTAAACTAGAAGCTCTGAAGTCCTTGTCATCCCAGGTAGGGAGGTCCGGGGGAGGGGGAGGAGACAGAATCGAGAGAAATCTGTGTATCCAATCCCAGTTTTCTCAATAGATGGAGAGAGCCCAGGGTGTCTAGGCATCAGCTACACCACCCTGTGCCCTCAGACCGCCTTCGTCACGCCTGGCCTGTAGGAACCTGGAATCTCCTCACTGCTCTACATGAAGTCAGTTCTCTATGCGTCAGGCACCGTGCTAAGGGCATTGACCTGTATTATCCCACTTATCCTTACAGAGTCTATTGGGTTAGTATTAGCTTTATTCCACAAATGAGGATTTGTTCAATAAAATGGAGTGACAAGCCCACGGCAGTGACAGAGCCATGATTCATCCAGGTCTCAGGATTCCAAGCCTGGGTGTGGTGGCTTTTTTCTTTACAACTTACTTCTTTGAAAGCTTATCCTTTAATTACCATTTAAGAACATTTCTTAACAAGGTATTGCACAATTGAGGTGGCTAAAACCACAGTAGGCCTAATTTGTTGCAACCGTAGCTGAAGTGTCCAGCAGGACATGTGCAGTGGTGGGAATGTCCCACATCGGGGCTCGCCCAGCAGCCACTCGCCTTGAAATCGGCTACTACGACGGATGAACTGAATTTTTAATTTTATTTCATTTTCATGAATTTAAATAGCCACCTGTGGCTGCCATATTGGACAGCCTAAGTCTGGTCCTTAGATACTGGGAGTAATAAGAGCCTCAGACCAGAGTGCGTTGTGTGAGGCCCCGGGGGGGGGGGGGGGTGCCTGGGAGGCCAGGATCATATCCTGCGGTGTGCAAGCAGGGAAAGGCTCTGTCCCTGAAGGTCACATATGTGTAAGGGCTTCTATATTGCGCTAAGGACTCAATTTATAGTTCCATTCCCTCCAGGGAGATGTTATATAGGTGCCTTATATAAACTACTTTTTTTTTTTGCATTTATCTTCAGATAGAGCAGGAGGGAAAAAGGGAAGGAGAAAGAGAAAGACACATTGATGTGAGAGAGACACACTGAGTGGTTGCCACACACACGACCCCAACCAGGGCCGGGGACAAACTGCAACCGAGGTACGTGCCCTTAGCGGGAACTGAACCCGAGACTCTCTGATCCGCAAGCCGACGCTCTAACTGCTGAGCAAACTGGCCAGGGCATAAGCTACTTTTTTTTGTTATAAATAACATAAAGCAATCATGACTGGCTAAATGACCAAAGGCTATGGGGTAACTCAAACCACTGAAGGAATCTTTGAAGAGCCCAGGCCTTAGAAAGGGGCCTTGGGGCAGCAACTAAAGGCCATGCTGTTGGGCTAAGTCTGCTCCGAGCATCCTGGGCCTCTCCTCCCTTCCATCTCTCTGGGAAGCCAGGTCCCGTCGGCCTGGCTTGGGTCACTGCTGACGTGGTGGTCAGGGAAGGCAAAGCCCCCTACTGGACAGACTGCCTATGAAGAAAAACAGAGAAAGTACAGACATAGACGATGGACAGGCAGAAACAACATACACATAAACTGCATAATATCACGTGCACACGCGACAGGAGATATAATGTAAAACCAAAGAAGTGAGCTAACGCCCATGTTTTTAACACGGGATGTAGGAATATTAAAACACTTAACCACGTTCCCTTGAAGCACCCATGCTGAAGTGCGTCGCTCTGGCTGAGTGTTTTCAGAGTACTTAATATGGGACTTCTCACGCCGTCCTGTGAAGAAGCCAGTATTTTCACTCCTCTTTTTCCAAATCAATAAACTAGGATAATGAAAAACTATGAATTGCTCAGAGAAAGGTAATTACTGGTACAGAAAAGATTTAATTCCTGAGCCACTGACACTTATTTCTGTCCTTAATTCACGTCGTATGTCTCCTCCATTTTTGCTTTTAGCACAGAGGAAGGTGGTAGAACTCTATTTAACATTAATATTTCAGGCCTTTGAAGTGCTAATGAGAGAGGCTCTCTATTCATGAGATACGCTCGGGACATGATTTGACCTGATGAATACAAGTGCATTATAATGAGTTTTTAAAATCATATTTGTTCAATTTCTGTACTTTTCATCCCTAGTTTTTAAATCTTTTTAAAATCTGCACTTAAAATTCAGTTCAATCTTCCATTAGTCTTTAAAAAGAAAATTAAAACCAACTATAACCTTACCAGGTATTACTATTATTAACATGTTAGTATATATCCTTCCAGTCTTTCTTTTTACACATATAGATTTATTATTATAAATATAAGAATGGGATCCTACTATAAATAATTGTGTATGCTTCATCATTAAACAATATTTTGTGAATATTTTTCTTTGCCATTAAATACTCTTCCATACCATATTTCTAAATGTGGATAGCTTATCTAACATTCTCTCTGTAAAAAAAAAAAAAAAAAATTCAATTTACAGAAAAAGAGAACAAAATTCATCTGGTATCTCACCTTCCAGAAATTTTATATAATTTTATGTAAGCGAGATCATGTTATATGTGGGTGTTTTTGGAATATGTTCTTTCCTTTTTTAAAAAAATCCTCATCTGAAGATATTTTCCCATCAATTCTTAGAGAGACTGGAAGGGAGGGAGGGACAGGGAGAGTGAGTGACATAGATGTGAGAGAGACACACTGATTGGTTGCCTCTCACATGACCCAGCCTAGAGCCAGGAATTGAATCTGCAGCCCAGGTACATGCCCTTGACTGGGAATTCAACCTGAGACCCTTCTGAGCCAAACCGGCCAGGGCTGTTTTTTCCTCTTAATGATATATGGTGGATAGCTTTTCAAACCAATAAACATAAATAAAACTACATCATTTTTTTCAGATAATTCCATAAGTATTTATTGGGCCCTTACAATGTGCCATACAGTCTGGGCAACAAGATGACAGAGATGCATGAGAAAAACACATTATCATTTTTAGTGACTTAGAGTAATATATGGCAGACATGACATAATTCATTTCCTTAGCCCCTTCTACTGAGTATTTAGATTATATTCACATTTCTCCTGTAACAAGTATAATGGCATGAGTCTATGTCCTTCCAGCTAAATCTTTGCCCATATAGATAATAATTTTCTTGCTTTAAATTTCTAAAAGTAAGCTAAGAATATGTAAAATTTTAGCACCTTGGGTGTTTATTACCAAATTGCTCTTTGGTTGTCTTAATTTTTGTGGTTTATGGCTAAACTCTGCTATATTTTTATTTGTACAAATACAGGCAGTCCTTCTAGTTGCATGGACTTTGTAGTTGACACTGTAGTCATTCTAGCTACCTACAGTAGTTGGCTGCCTTTGCCATGACTGGTTCTCAAATTGCAGACCCAACAATGAGATTCAAAGAGAGGCTTCCCAGGGCTTCTGGGTAAAGAACTTTCTCAACATTTAAGAGAGAGAACAGGAAGCCTGTAACCCCAGTTCCAGTGCCAGTCATTCTACACCTGTTAGGGGAATGAGCCCAGTGACCAAGCTGAAATGAGTCGGGTCAGGAAATAAAATGGAGTCTGTGATGACATCGTGAGCACTTGGACCGACCCTGC